TCGATATTTTTTCATGATGTCCTGAAGCTCGGTGAGCAAAGTCTGTATTGTACTTCGATATAACAGTTTTTATAAAACAAAAATTACTTGAGCAATATGACTTATACAGAAGTTTTGGACGTTGTCGCTTATGCTAACTCGAGCCTCTCATGGCTCGAGTTAGTTGATCTTGACGAGAAAGAGCGAAACAAACCAACACAGGTTACAAAACAACCCCAACCCAAGCCACAAAATGGGCCTGTGATGTCATACTCACACTTGGTTAAGGATAAAGTACAGCCTCAAACCACAACACAAGAGAAGCCTCAGGTGGTTGAGGCCATAAAAGGACCCCAACTCGCACCAAAGCCCCAGAGGATTCCCCGGAAACGTGGAAATCGCTGTTCGGTGTCAGAAAACCCCGCTCCCATAACTACACCACAAGAGAAGCCTAAGGTGGTTGAGGCCGTAAAAGGACCCCAACTCGCACCAAAGCCCCAGAGGATTCCCCGGAAACGTGGAAATCGCTGTTCGGTGTCAGAAAACCCCGCTCCCATAACTACACCACAAGAGAAGCCTAAGGTGGTTCAGGCCGTAAAAGGACCCCAAACCAAACCCGAAAATGGACCTGTGATGTCATACTCACAGGTGCTTAAGGCTAAAAAATTGCCTCAAACCAAGCTCATCATCACAGAGGAGAGGTGAGGGTGAGGTCTATATATGTAAAAAACATAAATAAAATATAATAAAATATGTGTCTTGTTTCTCTACCCTACTGATGTGTAAGCCATACAAATTTACAGATAAATTTTCTACACATTGTCCTCAACACACAGACAACACAAGATAAACTACAATAAACAAAATTAAAACGGATTCGTCTTCATAGTTGAAATATTTCATAATACATTTTTCCACAACATTAACATCTTCACTACAGGGTCGCCATTTTTAATATTTTATTTGGTTAACGACAGATTATTTTATTCAGTTCAGAGGCGACACCGTACTATGTTATATGTACCACTAGCAGAATCGTGGCTCATCCGCTAGGCAACGGTAGGACGCCACCCTCACTGTTTAGTCCCCAAAACTTCTTCCATCAATAGTTCATTAACGGTGTATATAAGTTCCACCATGTTTTTCACTACAACGGTACAGCAAAGTATATTTTTTTAGCATTAAACTGTTATTATTTTATTGTCTAATCATCACTATATATAACACCACCCATCATCACTACATATAACATCATCCATCATCACTACGGATCGGTAAAGTAGTTTCCGAGATTCTCGTGCGGACACACACACACAAACAGACATACTTCTTTGTTTTATATATATATATATATATATATATATATATATATATATATATATATATATATATATATATATATTTATTTATTTATTTATTTATTTTTTTCTGAATTATGACAATCAACTTTTCCTTATTTCCTAACTCCTACATTCAGTTAGTAAGAAGCAGAATTATTCCATACATGACCAAGTGCTACGTAACAAACTTATGTGTACGGTGCCACGCATGAGTTGCATTGGTTGTTTCACAGGCACATGACCTGGAAGTATCGTTAAAATTAGACACCTTTATATGCTAGTTCTCTTGCCTATCACCTTCTAAATGTATGGCTGGATTTATTAACGCGAGATAGTTCATAAGTCACCACAGACGGTTGAAACTCTGTGGCGCTACTTCCCTTATTTGTTACTAATGAATATTTTATTTGTTTTATTTATCTTGTTCGTGTCTTTTTCTAGTAATTAGTTATTTAGAAAGGTTCTAAAATAATATAGACATTTTAATTAATCATTACCTCACAAGACTTATAGCAAATTTGGTTTCCTACAATCATGTTCAATCCCTGAACATGAAAAATTCTATATAGTTAAACAAAGAAAGAAATAAGGAAAATAACACAAAAATCATCGGGTAAATGTTACGTAGGGAACAAAATGTGAGTGTGGCGGCGGCAAGAACTCTGCCATCAGTATTTGTCAAGGGCAGCGCCACCCGGGGCTAACAACTTTACCCGCGCCCAGGTGCTACACCTTCTACACTTTTGCCACATCCGCGTTCATTGCTCACAAAGAACTCATTTATGCTTGTTCCTTTTACTTATAAATATATATACTGTATATATATATATATATATATATATATATATATATATATATATATATATATATATATATATATATATATATATATATATATATATAGAGTTTGATGGCTAACTAAGCTAACCTAGAATATCGGATGAGGTTGCCCAGTGGTTACTTTAGTAGACAATGACTAGATTGATTTTACAATTACAAGTTTATTAAAATCTTACACTGTATTACGTTATGGACTCACTAGATTGTGACTTGTTAAATGTGAACTTATATCATCTAAGTTTTAATATAAGGTGGATCACTGTGGCTGACATAGATGGGTCGCGGGTTGGGTTGTTGTAGTGTGGGCAGACTCCGGGGCCACCAGGCGTGGGGTCACCCTCCGTTGATGTCTTCCCCGCGTAGGTGGTCTGAGCTGTTAGGGTCGTCCAGGAGCTTGTCCCAAACCTTCTTCCCGAAGCGATGGAACCTGACGTTGAGGGCCTCTGTTTTATTTCTCAGGTGGATGGTTTCCACTGTTTCCTGGTAGGAAGGCGCTTGGCCACTGGCTGACCTCAAACACTTGTTTTGGAAGCTCTGTACTTGTTGTAGTCTGGTCTTCCCAAGTGTGACGAGTGGTACGTGAGGGTACTCCAACACAGGGATCACCAGCGCCTTGTACAGGTGGACTTGTATCTTCTCAGGCATCAGTTTAAAATGTTTTAATTTGACGGCAACGACTTTGGCTTTCTTTAGTCTGTCCTTCACGTGGGAAATGATGCCTGTCCTAAAGATGATAAGGCCGAGCAGCCTGCCTTGTTTATAGTACTCAATCTCTTCGTCGTCGATCATCAATGGGGCCGGCTTGAATTTGGCTATGGGTATGACCTCGAATTTCGTTTTGTTTGTTTTTATTTTTCATACTCCGTGCAGTGAGTCGCGCCATCCTTGCCGTGGATCTCCCTGGGCAGGTGACAATCTGTGTTACATTGACGGCATTCATGACGTACTCACTGTCGACGATTGGGGGTGGCAGGTCAGCTGTGGAGAGCGTGTAAAGGTTTGGCGAGAGACAAGAGCACTGAGGCACGCCGCTCGAGAGTGAGATTTTTTTCTCCATAATGTTCTTGAATCTTGCTTTTGGCTCTGCGGTCCGTAATGAAGTTGCACAGCAAGCGCGCCAGGTTGTATGATCTTATACTGCAGCCCCGTGTGCCAAACTTTGTCAAATGCCTTTCTGACGTCCCTCAGCAGTACGTTGCACTACAGGCGGCCAGTCATGGAGTTGGCGATCTGCTCGGAGGCCGGGGCTATGTTGGTGGATGTGCCTCGGTCCTGGCGGAAGCCGAACTGGCGGGGATTATGCACGTCTTCGTCCTCCAGATACATCCGCAACCGCTTGTTTACTATTTTTTCGAAGATTTTGGCAGGTACCTCTAGCAGCGATATTGGTCGAAAGTTTTCGACTTTGTTTGGAGGCTTCCCTGCTTTTGGTATGAGGCGAATAACGGCGATTTTGAACATCTTAGGGAAGTATCCAGAGGCGAGGCAGGCGTTGCATATATGAGCAAGCCTCTCTATCATGTTGCCGGGGAGTTGAGCCAGGATCTTCTTGTTAATGTGACTTTGACCAGGTGATTTGTTTTTAAACCCTTTTATGACGGCTGACACCTCTGCAGCCACCCGGGCCAATAACTTCCATGCCTCCAGGTGCTACACCTTCTACACTTTTTGTTACATCCATGTTCATTGCTCAAAGAACTCATTTATGCTTGTCTTTTATTTATAAATATATATATATATATATATATATATATATATATATATATATATATATATATATATATATATATATATATATATATATATATATATATATATATACTGTATATATATAATACACACGTTCATTTTCTATTGTTTCAGTCTTTTTGTTTAGTTTTCTGGAGAAAAGTTTGACAACACCATTGTTTCAAAATGCATTAAGAAAAGAGAACTGCCAGAAAAGTTTAAACAATGTTGCTGTATTACATTTATTTTACCCTTTCTCAAAAAAGAGACTTAAAGCTTAACTATATATTGACCACTTGAGAGAACATTCAGCGTCATGGTAGGTTAAAGAGCTTAGAGTATTAGAACATTTAAAGGCACCTGAGGAATTGGGAATCTCAGTTACATTTATGAGTAATAAATATTTTTTTTGTTCTTCAGTCATAATGCATACAGTGTTTTGAGAACCGCAACAGGAAGTTACAGAAGTTGTTACTGACAAGACCAGGAGTGCTACTTCAGGCTCCTGACTCTCTGCACAAAAGCAGCAAAAAAAGATGAAGTTGACGGGGGGGGGAGGGCGTCCACGAAGGTTATAATGAAACGAGATTAAATATAGTAACGAATCCTTTAAAATATCGTTTTATTACGACATGACAAAATTTCTGAATTACTGACAATATACAAAATAAAAAAGAAATAAATAAAAGATGAGGAAGCTACAGACTCTACAAAATTTAGAAAATGTTAATACCCAGTGTACATCGTTTGTTCCGTTTGTTCACTCCCAAAAACTTCCCTTATGACCACATTAGATTCTCTCTATAGCACCTGTGATGTTCATTCCTCACCTTTCACTTTGTGT